ATCCAACATAAAACGTTCAATTTCATACATCCTCTGGTTGCATGTCAACTATGCAATTTCAGTACAACCCAACATACAACATTCAATGCAAGCTGCAATTTTCACTTAGTCCAGCATACACAGGATATTGGGATTGCTGGTCCGATTCCTCGCAAGACTGTAGGCATCTTGAGAACAGGTCTATGCCTTTTAAACCTGTATGCCTTTAGTATCTGACACATAGGGGACTTAAATATTGGAAAAACTGATAGAAAAAGAGCATTTTGCTAGGTAAAACCCTTCCAAAATACAAATGTGTAGTTTAAAAGATGGTGAGTAAACGATACAGACTGAGGGCCTAACAGAAGAAAAATAAAGTTCCTTGAGAAATAGGACAAAGAAGAGATGCTATATGTGATTATCTTAAATTAGACAGTAGTTAAGGTTAGTATCAAATCCTGAAGTTAGAGTGAGAGATCATTTCTTTCCAAGGACAGAGAGGGAGGCCCATCAACACTTGGCCTTTGAATACTGAACATGGCAAAATCCTCAGCAGTGGTTAAATACAGGAAGAGCGGCTAAGCTGTGGTTGCCTAGGAAGTCACTTATGGAGCTTTGTTAAACTAACGGAGAGTTCTGATTTCATGCATGGGTGAGACATTTCCGTTCCTTCATTTTAACAATCACAAAGCCAACCAGAGGTAATTTTAACAGAACATATGCTCCATCCATGAGGAAATCAATCTACAGTCCTGCAGCCAACATCTCAAGATAGGATAGGCATTGTCAGGTGACTTTATGGAGTGGAGGATGACCCCTGCTAGGTGTCTGCGATGGAGGTATTGGTGGGATACGAGACAGCTTACCCTGCAGTGGGGGGTACTTGTGGGATATGAGACAGCTTACCCTGCAGAGTCCTAGGAAGGCTCAGGAATTGCCGCTAACAGTGATCACAGGAGATGGGCAAGCCAGTGGGCTGAAAACAGTAATGTGAAATGCATATGAAGTACAGTTAGACCACTTTCTTATCACCATCACCATACCTACAGAAAACAGAAAGTGTATGCTCTGGAGAACCTTGGATTTTAGTGACCCCTTCGCCAGAGAGGTAGAATTGGGGGCAGGGAGATAGGGCCTTGCACCACACAAGATGAAAAGTTGCCTCTAGATAAAGAGAGGACTCCTGCAGAGCATCACTCTGAGTGAAAGTATGAATTAGCCAAAGAACACTCTACAACCTGGCCACCAGCAAAAAGAAAACAAAGAACTTTGTCTTGGCCTGGATCCTGGGAGAGAAAATGTCCTCCGCCCAACTCCAGTCTCTGTTACAACTCTGCCATTTTAGTGCAAAAGCAGCCATAGACTATAGGTAAATGAATTATAATGGCTCATTAACTGGCTGTGTCCTAGTTCAATTTTATAGACACTAAAATTTGAATTTCATATGATTTTCACATATCACAAACTATTTTTCTGGTGTTTTTCAACCATTTAAAGATGTCAAAACTAGTTTTAGCTTTCTGACCATGCAAAAAGAGGCACTAGGCTGGATTTGACCTGTAGTTTGCTGACCACCATACTAGGGTTGAAGTAAGCCTGTTAAAAATGTAAGGGTGTGCATTCATCTTGTATCTCTCAATGCAAAAGAAGGCATGAAAGGAAGGGGGTTGGAAAATAAGCAGCAGGACAAATAGAAAGTTCAAAATAATATGTTAGAAATAAATGAGTAATTATACTAAATGTACATAGACTAAACTTACTGGCTAAAAGACAGATTGCCAGAATGGATTTTTTAAAAATCCAAATGTATGTTGTTTTAAAAGAGACATTCCTTCACCACCAAAAAGAGACTTATCTCAAACATAAATGTACATTAAAGTTCAAGGGAAAAGAAAGGAAAAGTTTATGCCAAGAAAACACTTAGAAAAGTTGATGTATTTTTGACAAAATATACTTGAAGTCAAACTTCATTATTAAGAATAAGGAGGGTATTACATGATGATAAAAGGAAACTGTTTTTTGAACAGAAAGATATAATTCTACCCTTGAATGACCCTAACAAAGTTGTCTAGCATATATATGTGCCAAGCAATGTAGATAGAACCTTATACCCAACAACTGCTTAGAAAAAAATTCTTCTCAACTTTATTTGGAAATTTTATTAAAATTGATCACAGGCTAAAATTAAGCCTCATTATGTCAAAAATCAGTATAAGACAAATTAACCTAGGTGGAAAAAAAGAATCATAATAGAAAAATACTTTAAACTTAAAACCATAATGAATTACATAGAAATAATACTTGCGGACTGCAGCTAAAGTAGTACCCAGTGGCAAATGTAGAGCCTTAAATTATTTATTGGAATAAAGTTCTGAAAATTGATGAAATAAGTGACCAACTTATACATCCAGAAAATAATAAAAGAGAACCTTAAAGGAATAAAGGAACATCTCATTATAATTTTAATCATATTCTCAGAGAGAGAATACACCCTGGCTTATTTTAGGAGGAGAGTATATGTAGACAAGCACATTGAGAAAGGATGTATAGGCCACTTTAATTTGTGAAGATGACTTTTTTAGAAAACATACTGGGAAACCAAATTCAACAATCTTTTGTTTCTTTTTTTAAAAAACAAAAACATTATAACCAAGGTTGAATTTATTCTTGGATGGTAAGTAAATCCAATTATCATAAAGAGGGCAATTTTCAAAATATGAATTAAATGCAATTCTAACCAAAATCCCAAGGCCTTTTTAAAAAAAAATATTAGAACTTGACATGTTGATTTTAAGGTTTCATGAAAGAATAAATAGCCAAGAATTATCAAAAACACTTTTGAAAAAGAACAAGAGTGGGGCAGGGGGTGCTTCTGTATTAGATATTAAGACTTAATACAAAATCAATTTATGTCTTATTATAAGGTAACAGTAATGAAGACAATGTGCTATAAGCAAATAGACCAATATTGCTGCCTAGAAAACCTGCAAACCAACCTGCCTGTGTATGGAAAACATGTGACAGAGGCAGTACTGTACATCTGTAATGAGAAGGAGGGGCTCCTGCATAAACAGGGCTTGAACAAAGGTTGTCCAAATGGGGAGGAAAACTTGGATTCCTGCTTCACAGGAGTAGGAATACCTAACATTGATATAAATTTGGTGTACATTATAGAGACCTAAATGTGAAAAAGCAAAAATTTTAAATTTTACAAGAAAATAGAAAATGTGTTTATGACCTCAGGATAGAAAAGGGTTCTAAAATAAAACATGCAGCCCAAATCATGAAGAAAAAGATGGATGAATGCACCTATCTTTATATTTAAGACTTCTGTTTATCAAACAATAGCATTTAAATAGTGAAAAAACAGTTCACATCCTGGGAGAAGATATTTGCTATGCACCTAGAATATAAGAGAAAAAAGTACACAGTGAATAAGCGCAAATTACAGAATAGGAAACCTGGTCAATAACCTTATGAGAAGCTGTTCAACTGCCTGGTCTGACAGGCAGACGTCAATGTTGAGGAGTACCAAGTTATGGCAACAATTTGAAACTAATGAAGATATTCATTTACTTCTGGTGGGTGCATTTTTTAGTATACTCTCCACTTTGGAGAGTAATTTAGAAATGTTTAGTCACACTGAGGATGTATTTTATGAGCTCATCAGTCCACTCTTAGGAATATCATCAAAATTCTGAGGGAGTGGAAAAGGTAGAATAAATACATTTTCTAAAAAATCTTTAGAAATTTGCCTCTCATATATCCCTTCTCAGGAAACTAATAGAGGATTTTTCTTAGCAAAATAAGGGAGTAAAATAAGAAAAAGGAAGGCAGAATCCAGGAAATGGGTTCAACACAGGAAAGTCTTAAGAAAATTCCTAAGTAATTACAAGTGGAAGTCAGGGAACACCTCAACAGAAGGCCTAGAAAGCAACCACTGCAGATTTGAGCAGACATGTGGAAGATTCCAGAGAGGAAAATGGAACTGATAAGTTATCTGATAACATTTGACCACATGGATGTTTATTTTTAGAGGCTTCTCATAGAAACGTTAAAGACTGAGAAGATTTAACCACAGGGAATGTCTTTATTTCATTTCCAGCTATATTCATAGCATGCTGGTGCTTGGCAAATAGGAGGCATTCAGAAATATGTGTTGAATAAAGTAAAGCATGTCCTCGAAGGTAGCAGAAATGAAGTAGATTAAAAATGGGAAAGGAGGAGAACTAGCTGAAAGAGTAAAGCACACCGTGGAAAACAGGAAGATAAAATAGATGACAGGAAATGAGGAAATATTTTAGAACAATTTCATACAACATCTGGAAGCAATTCGGTTGGGTCTGATGGTGGAAGATGTATAACATAAGTGAGAATCATATAAGGTATAGTTGTAGATGATCTGGAGTTCAAATGTTTTAAAATCAGGTCTCTTGACAACAACAAATATTATTTGATTCCAGATTCCAAATTTGATTCCAAATTTGATGGCCAGTGTTCTAATCCATTTGGGCTGTTGACTTATTCAGCTAATAGTTAACATGTTTCTCCTTCCTACCCAGTCCGATGCTAAAAACTGGGATTTTAATGGTGAGGACAATCAAATATTGTCCCTGCCATCATATGCAGACTGTTACTATACTTAACCTCTGTTCAAATGTTTAGAATATGGGAATATCCAGTTGGAAATATTTTTTAAGCCTGGATTCACTCTTAGGAAATAAAAGGTTTTAAAATTTACACAAACTCTAGAAAACAAACTGTTTTTCATTTCACCAGAAGTTACTATCTGTAAGTTTTATAGCAGATCTCCCTACTCTTATTGAATATGATTTTTATTATTAGAAACACATTACTGTCTTGATAAATTTTGCTAGTCATTCTTTTTGGCTGGTGATCTTTGCATATATATGAACTTTGAGAAATGACTTGAGAAATACAGAATACACTTCATAATAGGTCCTGTCCAGTAGTACCAGGGATTGTTCTCTCTCACCTCTGTTCTTGGTGTCCTTCTATAGGGATCGTATTTGCACATTATGGTCCAGTCTGGAGACAACAGAGGAAGTTCTCTCATTCAACTCTTCGTCATTTTGGCCTGGGAAAGCTTAGCTTGGAACCCAAGATTACTGAGGAATTCAAATATGTGAAAGAGGAAATGCAGAAGCACGGAACAGAGCCCTTCAGCCCTTTCCCCCTTGTGCACAATGCTGTCTCCAACATCATTTGTTCCATGTGCTTTGGCCAGCGCTTTGATTACACCAATAATGACTTTAAGAAGCTACTTGATTTTATGTCACGAGCATTAGAAATTTGTCTAAACACCCAGGTCCTCCTGGTCAACATATGCTCCTGGCTTTATTACCTTCCATTTGGACCATTTAGGGAATTAAGACAAATTGTAAAGGATATTACCATCTTCCTTAAAAAAATCATAAAAGACCATCGAGAGTCTCTGGATGTCAAGAACCCTCAGGACTTCATCGACATGTACCTTCTTCACATAGAGGAGGAGAGGAAAAATGGTAACAAGAGTAGTTTTAATGAAGATTACTTATTTTATCTCATTGGGGATCTCTTCATTGCTGGGACTGATACCACAACGAACTCTTTGCTTTGGTGCCTTCTGTACATGGCACTGAACCCTGACATACAAGGTAATTAATAGATGTTTCCTTTATTCATGGCAAAACCAGGTTACTTAAATCAGGTTCGGCAACCTTGGCGATCCTGTGGCTTCTAACACTGAGTAATGTCTTCAGGTTGGAAAACAAAATGGAAATACTTGTATTTCATAGGACTTGGTAAGATGTTAACAGTGAAACTCCAACTTTCTGGACAATAGGATTAATGTCTTACACGCTTGCCCCTGCTTTAACTCTCTACAGGTCTGATTCTGTGTGAAATCTGTAATGGAAGATGAAGTTTTAGAGAAGAATTACATTTTAGAGCTGAAGGGATCATCTGAGCTCATGGATCTCACTTTGAAAATGGAGAACAGTGTCCCAGAGAAGTTCTGAGACTTTCACAAGGTCCACAGCTAGTCCCACCATATCAGTACAATAGGTAGTGAATGTCAGCCATTCATAGGGGAAGAATACAGGGGAGGATAATTTCTGTCACTCCTGTAATAACTTGTATATCAAACTTAGTGACTAAAACAACACAGATTTTTTATCTTATAGTTCTATACATTGGAAGTCTGATGCATGTCCCAGGGGGCTAACATCAAGATGTTGGCAGGGCTGCACTCCTTTCTGGAAGCTCTGGAGGAGAATCCATTTCCAGCTTCCTTGGCTCCTGGCCCCCCCTCTGCATGTTCAAAGCCAGCAGTGTTGCAGCCCTCTGACCATTCTTTAATCCTATCTCCCACTGACTCTAAACTCAACATGGGAAAGTCCTCCAATTTTAAACCCATGTACTTAGATGGGCGCACCCAGAAAATCCAGGATCATCTCAAGCCCTTAATTTAATCACATCTACAAAGCCTCTTTTGCTATGTAAAGTAGCATATTCACCAGCTCCAGGGGATTAGAGTTTAGAAGGCTTTGAAGGCCATTTTCTGCCTACTATTGATAGGATTGTGCCTACCTATATTAGTTAACTATTGCTGAGTAACACATTATCCCAAAATTTCGCAGCTTTAAACAATCATCACATATTATCTCACACAATTTCTGAGGATCAGGAATCTAGGAGTGGCTTGGCCTATGATTGAGGATTTCTCATGAAGTTGTAGTCAGGAGACTGGCTGGGTCTTCAGTCATCTTTACACTTAACTGGGACTGAAGGCTCCACTCCTGAGATGGCTCATCCACATGACTATTGGACACAGCCTTTAGTGCTTGGGCCTTTCCCGAGAGCTGCTTGACCTAGCAGCTGCCTTCCTCCAGAGTGAGTGAGCCGGTAGACAGTGCATGACCGAGACAGGAGCTACATGTTTTATAATCTAAGCCTAGAACCGATATACCACTGCTTCTCCCTTATTCTACTGGCCACACGGACCAACTCATTACAGAACGGAAGGGGACTGCGTGAGGATGTGAACACTGAGGCAGGGACTGTTGGGGCCGTGGTAGGCTACCACACCCTGTCACGTATGAAAGCTTAGAGAGTCAATCCAGCACTCCAATGAGAGAATGATTTCCAGTTCTTTTGCCTTTGCCCCGGTGTTCTGCTGTCCTCTTTCAAATTCAGAGGGTACAGGGTCCCTGGGTCTGGTTGCCTGCACTTAGAATATCTACCCAGTGCTTCACTTCACTGGGGCTGAGTCAGAACTGTACTGCTCACTTACCTGCTGTGTGTACGAAGTGCTGGGAAGTGTGTGTACAAAGGCAGTCTCAGTTCCCTCCCAGTTTATCTTCTAGCCTATTCTTTCTTATTCTTTACTCTTTTTTTCATATAGAAAAGGTTCATGAAGAAATTGAAAGGGTCATTGGTGCTGACCGAGCCCCTTCCCTCACTGACAAGGCCCAGATGCCCTACACAGAAGCCACCATCATGGAGGTGCAGAGGCTGACTGTGGTGGTGCCTCTCTCCATTCCTCATATGACCTCAGAGAAAACAGGCAAGTCCAGGGGCTCCCTCCTTGAGCCCACGTGAGGGCAGCCCAGCTCCTTAACCCAGAGGAGCTGACATGAGGGCTTGGTGACCACTGCCTAGCTTGGTCCTTCTGAGGGTTGGCATTGTGTGATGGGTACTCAGGTACCAGGGGGCGCCTCAGCCCTGCTGTCTGTTGCTCCTTGTACTGGCCTTCCAGCACAGCTTGTTTTGTAAAAAGCTCTCTAGACTTCAGAGCAAGATAGTTAGACTAGTCAGACAAACCCTGCCACCATTTAACGTGGCTGTACTGACTACAAAACTCAGAATTAACAAAAGCACCCCTCAGTCCTCTTCTTAGAGATCAGAAGAACTATCTAAATATGGAATTGAGAATTTTAACTGGGAATTATCCTACTTCAGTTTTTACAGTTTTGTGATGGAAGCATAAATATTAAAGAATTAGAAGAGTCCATCTCATCCTAAGGGCACCTTTTTCAATCTCTCACCTACAGAAAAATGTGTCCATTTGTTCAAGTCCTTAACATACAGGCACTCTGCAAACATCCCTCCTAACAAGGGGTCCACCTCCTCTAGAGACAGCCCATGATGTGAATCCCATGGTTAAATCTAGTTATAAGACAGTTATGGGAGGCAGTCACTTAAAAATGACTATAAATACTTAATTTCTTTGGTGCAAATTAGGACACTCTGTGCAACATCTTTGGGGTGTTGTTTAAGGGGCACATGAACTTGTCAGCCAGTAAGAGCCAGTGTTGAATTCCCTGTACATCCCTTTACCATAGTTTACCTTCCTCATCATACATACTGTTGAGTGGACATAAAAGATTCCATAAACTGTGCAGTTTTATACAAGTAATAGGAATATGCAATTCTTTGGGAATGTTTACGTGGAATGCCCTGTGATTTCTGTTTTGGTGTTTCCCCTTAATTGGGATGATCTTATGACTTGATTTAATTCATTAACTCAACATCTGTCAGAGCATGCCCTGTCTCATGCTGGGTCTTGGGACGGTGACAAAGGAAGGATGCCAGTTGGTAAGGTCTTGCCCCTAACCCTCAAGTGCCTCCAAATTTAGTCTCTAGCAAATTAAGAAGCTACGTATGTAACTAGATTTTTTTCAGATAGTGATGTTTATGAAGAACTATTAGTAAAAGCATGTTGAATGACACTGTGTTTGTTTGTTTCAGTGCTCCAAGGGTATACCATTCCCAAAGGCACAGTGATATTACCCAACCTTTGGTCAGTACATAGAGACCCCGCCATCTGGGAGAAACCAGACGATTTCAACCCTAATCGATTTCTGGATGATCAAGGACAACTTATTAAAAAAGAAACATTTATTCCTTTTGGGATAGGTCAGTTAAACTTTTATTTTGTTAATGGCATAATTAAAAAAGAAGTAGAACTAAAAGAACCTTTATATTTCATAACATTGTTTCAAAAATGTTTTTGGCGAGCTAGCATCAAAGAGATAAATGATTTAGGTAATGCATCTCCACGATGTTCATTACAGATTTTAAAAGCAAAATGAAAGCAATTGCTTTTAAATCTTTAAATATGACTAGAAATCTCCCTTTCTGAGTTGCCCAGGTGATTGTTTGAGTCCCAGAGAAGTGTTGGGGTTAAGAGCACTTACGACCTCCTGCTGGGCTGGGGCTTGAGGGGGCAGGTTCCCCCATCTCCCCGGGCCCTCTTCAGGCTCCTGGATTAGGACATGTAGGATTCCTAGAGAAGAGGAGTACTCAAGAGAGTCGTATCTGACTTATTTTCTCCTTAATCTTCCAGGTAAGAATGAAGGAAAAGATACAGGGCAGCCTGCCAATTTGGATCTGTCTCTAGTTCCTATATAGGATGAAACAGATTTTTTTTAAGGAAATTAGTAAATATTTTATTAATGGAATAATAAATAGGTGAAAGACAATGACAACCATATGTGTCCATCAATGCACAGAGCAGCTAAGTTCCTAAAAATGGAGTTCATATAAAACAAAATTCACAATTTCAGAGCCCATTTACCCTGTCCTATTTCTGGCTTTTCACTACAAACACAGATATATTCTTACAATATATAATTTTAGGTATAAGGCTTAGGTTTTGGAAGAAGATGAGCAATTACAGTCAAAGAGAAATTCTGTGGAAAAATATATGTTCAGATCCTCTGCCCATTTTTCAATAAAATCATTTGGCTTTTGTTATTTTGTATTTTGAAATAGATTTTTATGAGTAGGAGTTAAAATGTAAACTTGATCATTTGATATATGTGGCAATTTTATTTTTAAACTTCCTGTATCTGCTTAAAACACTTAATCTAGATGTTTCACATAAATTTGTCCTTTTTGAAATAGGAAAAGGGATGGTATTATAATCTTCACTTTTTCCCTGATCTCATTTTTAGGGAAGCGGGTATGCATGGGAGAGCAACTGGCAAAGATGGAATTATTCCTGATGTTTGTGAGCCTAATGCAGAGTTTCACATTTGCTTTACCTAAGGATTCTAAGAAGCCCAGCCTGATTGGAAGATATGGTCTAACTTTAGCCCCACCACCATTTAATATAGTCGTTTCAAAGAGAAAGAACATCTCCAAGAAGGGAATGTAAATACATTTCCTTCCAAACAGATCCTTCCTTCCTTCTGTCAACAGACAACAGATCCAGCAACACAGCGCATCCAAGTTAGGCTCTAATTAGATACTGGAAAGAGGGTAGAGCAGGAGTTTTCATCTTGGGAGGATTTCTCAGCAGGACACCTCTGTCGTTTTAGTAACCCATGTCTGTGACTTAGGGGATGGGGACTAAAGTACTGGGTTGGGAAGCAAGAGGTCTGGATTTTATTCCCACTGGCAACTACCAATGAGCATTTCTTCTCATCTTACAGTGCCTCTGTGATTGTGTGTGTAAAATGAGGCTAACAAAACTTGCCTTCTCTCTGTCAGTGCTAATGAAGGTCACATGTCCCCTATCTTCTCTGACATCACCCAAACACTGTTAAGTTCTGGAAACACATTCAGGAATAGAAGGAAGACCTACTTGTGTAAGACCTGGGACAACATGGGAACGGTTTCAGACTTGAATACTTTGTCAGAGAAGAATGTGGGCATAGGTTACAATGACTTAGAGTTTTCTCAGTACAGATCCTATGTCAGTTTTAGGGGGCTTGTTTTGTTATTGTTATCTTTATGATTTGAGTTTTTACTTTTTGTAGACATGGAATAAGTAGATTCTTGTCCATTATGCTAAGGAAAGGTTATAGTTTGAATTTATATGTATACCTTCTATTTCAAGGTTCAAGGCCTGAACCGTAGGCCTGGCTGAAGAAGTGGCTTCCTGGCAGAATTCCTTTCTGCTAGTTGACTTGCAAATATGTAGCTCTATCTTTTGACTTGAGCCCTGAATAGTGAGCTCAGGAGTTTTAATACTGGGATTCATCAGGAAAGGATTCAAACTGTACCAAACATTCCTTTTCTATTCTGTCTTCTACTAGCCCTAATGTGTCTCATCACTGAACACTCTCAGACAGGAAGGCATTTCTATTCTTTTTAAGAGAACTAAATTGTTCCTTAATAAAGAAGGTCCCTCTAGAAGAGTAGTTCTCAAAAAAAGGTAATGGCCGCTTTCAGGGGGTATTTGGAAATATACAGGTGCATCTTTGGTTATCACCCGTTTGCTGCCCTGAGGCCAGGATGCTAGATGTCTTGAGTAGCCGCTTACAGTGAAGAAGTGTCCTGCCTAGTATGCTAGTATATCCCCCATCAAGAACATGCTCCAGAGAATGATTTGCCCTTTTATTCTCCCACAGTATCCTCGTATGGAAGTAATCATGATATAATATGAGCATCTGTACTTTTGAGCCTTTCCTCATGCTGGTACCATACTTAATGTTTTACTTGTATGCTCATATAATTCTTCCAGAAACTATTAAGAGGATGCTGTTTTGTAGCTGATGAAGCTGAGGCTTAGAGAAGGAAGGTAAGGCACATAGTTAAAAAAGTACTGCTGTTCATTTCAAACCTACCAGTGTTTGCGACTGGGGAGTTCTTTCTGAACCACTTCTCCGCATTGCCATTATCCCATAGCACTCTACTGCTCTGCATTTTCATTACAGAGCAATGATATACAGGCTAATCTTTAGGTGCCTTATGGATTTTTGTTAATTAAAGAAGAAAAATGAGTAAGTTTTTTCAACATTCCTAACCAATGTGTAGCTTGAAAAAACTGAGATTACATTGAAATCAGATGGTTATTTTCAATAAAATGCCTCAAATTGTATCATTTTAAAAACATCTTTATATGGTAAATCGCTGAAAGGATTCTTAATGCTTTCCTGTACATGTTGACATTTTACAATTTTATACTTAATGACTTATTTTAAATGTAAAAATAATACTCCTTTGTTTTATAATTCATAAATCTGCCTGATAACTAATTTTTAGTCCTCATCTTTAGCATAATATTTGATGCTTTTATTAAACTTTTTGGTTTAACTGAGATAATGTCATGTCTGGTTTCTTGTTTCTTGTTTTAACTGCTAAATAAAATTTTGTTTTACCAGATGTCAAATTAGGAAACACCAGAGGGTATGGGCCTCCAAAAAGAGAAAGATGGCCACAATATAATATAAGCATGGCTTTAGACAGGAGGATAATTCTTTTAAAATTGTAGTCCTGATGCCACAGAAATACAAAGAATTATTAGAGAATACTGTGAAAAATTATATGCTAATAAACTGGATAACCTAGAAGAAATGGACAACTTTCTAGAAAAATATAACCTTCCAAGACTGATCCAGGAAGAAACAGAAAATTTGAACATACCAATTACCAGCAACAAAATGGAATTGTTAATCAAAACACTACCTAAGAACAAAAGCTCCAAAGCAGATGAATTTATCGCTGAATTTTATCAAACATTTAGAGAAGACCTAATATCCACCATGAAAGTTTTTCAAAAAGTAGAAGAGGAGAGAATACTCCCAAACTCATTCTATGAGACAGCATCACTCTAATACCAAAACAGGGCAAAGACACCACAAAAAAAAGAAAGTTACAGACCAATATCCCTGATGAACATAGATGCAAAAATACTCAATATTAGCAAACTGAATTCAAAAACTCATCAAAAAGATAATCCATCATGATCAAGTAGGATTTATTCTGGGGATGCAAGGATGGTACAATATTTGAAAATCCATCAACATCATCTGCTGTATCAACAAAAAAGGACAAAAATCACATGATCATCTCAATAGATGCTGAAAAGCATTTGAAAAAATTCAGCATCCATTCATGATATGATAAAAACTCTCAACAAAATGGGTATAGAGGGCAAGTACCTCAACATAATAAAAGCCATATACACAAATTTACAGCCAAGATCATACTTAGCAGCAAAAAGCTGAAATCTTTTCTTCTAAGACTGGGAACAAGGCAAGGATGCCCAGTCTCCCCACTTTTATTCAACATAGTACTGGGGGTCCTAGCCACAGCAATCTGACAACACAAAGGAATAAAAGGCATCCAGATTGGCAAGGAAGAAGTTAAACTGTCACTGTTTGCAGATGAGATGATGTTGTACATAAAACCCCTAAAGAATCCACCCCAAAACTACTAGAAGTAATAACTGAATTCAGCAAAGTTGCAGGATACAAAATCAATACACAGAAATCAGTTGCATTCCTACATTCTAACAATGAACTAGCAGAAAGAGAAATCAGGAAAATGATTCCATTCACAATTGCATCAAAAAGAATAAAATACCTAGGTATAAACCTAACCAAGGAGGTGAAAGACCTATACCCTGAAAACTACAAGACACTCACGAGAGAAATTAAAGAAGACACCAATAAATGGAGATACATCCTGTGCTCATGGATAGGAAGAATTAATATTGTCAAAATGGCCATCCTGCCTAAAGCAACCTACAGAGTCAATGTAATTCCTATCAAAATACCAACAGCACACTTCAATGAACTAGAACAAATAGTTCTAAAATTCATACAGAACCACAAAAGACCCAAATAGCCAAAGCAATCCTGAGAAGGAAGAATAAAGCTGGGCGCTTTATGCTCCCCAACTTCAAACTCTACTACAAATCCAGAGTAATCGGAACAATTTGGTACTGGCACAAGAACAGACCCTTAGATCAACAGAACAGAATACAAAGCCCCGATATAAACTCACATATATGGCCAATTAATAAACAATAAAGGAACCATGGATATACACTGGGGAAATGACAGCCTCTTCATCAAATGCTGTTGGCAAAACTGGACAGCTACATGTAAGAATAAAACTGGATTACTGCTTAACTCCATACACAAAAGTAAACTCAAAATGGATCAAAGACCTGAATGTAAGATATAAAACCATAAAACTCTCCAACAGTCCATAGGCAAAAATCTTCTGAATATAAACATGAGCAACTTTTTCCTGAACGCATCTCCTCGGGGAAGGGAAACAAAGTAAAAATGAACAAGTGGGACTACATCAAGCTAAAAAGTTTCTGTACAACAAAGGACACCATTGGTAGAACAAAAGGGCATCCTACAGAATGGGAGAATATAATCATAACGACATATGCAATAAGGGGTTAACATCTAGAACATACAAAGAGCTCACGCACCTCAACACCCAAAAAACATAACCCAATTAAAAAATGGGCAGAGGGTCTGAACAGACACTACTCCAAAGAAAAAATTCAGATGGCCAACAGGCACAAGAAAAGATGTTCCACATTGCTAATTATCAGGGAAATGCAAATTAAAATCACAATGAGGTTTCAACCTCACACTAGTTAGGATGGCCAACATCCAAAAGACAAGGAACAACAAATGCTGGTAATGATGTGGAGAAAGAGGAACCCTCCTACACTATTGGTGGGAATGTACATTAGTTCAATCATTGTGGAAAGCAGTATGGAGCTTCCTCAAAAAACTAAAAATAGAAATACCATTTGACCCAAGAATTCCACTCCTAGGAATTTACCCTAAGAGTGCAGGATCCCAGTATGAAAAAGACATATGGAACCCTATGTTTACTGCAGCACTATTTACAATAGCCTAGATATGGAAGCAATGCAGGTGTCCATCAGTAGATGAATGGATAAAGAAGATGTGGTATATATACACAATGGAATACTATTCAGTCATAAGAATGAAACAAATCCTACCATTTGCAACAACATGGATGGAGCTGGAGGACATTATGCTCAGTGAAATAAGCCAGGGAAAGACAAGTAACAAATGATTTCACTCATTTGTGGGGTATAGTAATGAAGCAAAACTGAAGCTTAACAAAAGAGCAGCAGACTCAGACTCCAGGAAGGGACTAGTGTGGAGGGTGGATGGGAAGGGAGGGAAAAAGGGACTAAGGGTCATTGTGATTTGAACACATAATGTAGGTGGCTCCAGGGAAGGCAAGTACAGCATGGAGAAGACTAGTAGTGACTCTATCGCATCTTACTATGCTGATGGACACTGACTGCAATGGGGTGTTGGGGAGGGACTCAATAATAAGGGTGAATGTTGTCATCAGTATGTTTTTCATGTGAAACCTTCATAAGATTGTGTATCAATGATACCTTAATAAAAAAAATTTATAGTCCTGAGAGCATGGTTATTCTCAGGACTGTGTCACAATCCAAGTTTCTTATTTCCCATGTCAAAGCCCAGCTTTATTTGAGGGGGTGCTGAATCTGCACAAGCCCACTGTGGCAAAGTATTCAGTGCTTGCCTCTCTTGCTCTTTTCAGCTGTAGAAGAGTTTATTACCTCAACTTGTGCCTTTTGCCTACAGAGAAGCCCCTGTTGGCTCTTTTTCCTGGCCAAATCTTGCTCCTGCTGGTCACAGCTCAGATGTACCTCTTGGGGAGGTCCTCCACCAAAGGTCTAGTATATCTAAGGTTCTTTATTGAGAACTCTGCTATAGACAGAATGTTTGTGTCCCCACAAAATTCATGTATTGAGATCTAATCCCCAATGTGATGGTGTTTGGAGGTGAGAACTTTGGGAGGTGATTACATCATGATGATGAAGCTTTCATGAATGGGAACAGTGCCCTTACAGAAGAGACCCCAGAAAGATCCCTGGCTCCTCTACCCTGTGAGAATACAATGTGAAGACAGCCATCCATGGACCAACACCAGACACTGAATCTGCCTATGCTTTGATTTTGGACTTTTAGTCTACAGAACTGTAAGAAATAAATTTCTGTGATTTGGAAGATACTCAGTCTATTGTAGTTTTGTTATTGCATCCCAAATGGACAATCTGTTATCTCATCAACCAGAGACCTTCTCACTGTCGACAGTCACCCTGTTTATTTACACCTATAGTTTCCACCATCTCTTCTGCCTTGGACGAGAGGTGCCCTTTGATGCACATGTTTTTAATCTTGATGAAGTCCAACTTGTCTCTGTTTACTTTTTTGCCTGCGCCTTTGGTGACATATCCAAGAAATCATTGTCAAATCCAATGTCATGAAGCTTTTCTCCTGTCTTCTTCAAACAGTTTTATAATTTTGGTTTTAAGTTTAGGTCTTTGATCCACGTTGAGTGAATATTTGTATACTGTATAAGGTAAGAATCTAACTTCATTCTTTTGCATGTGGATACACAGTTTTTCAAGCACCATTTGTTGAAAATACTGTTTTTTCTCCCATTAAATGGTCTTGGTACACTTACCCAAAATCACTTGACTATATTTGAAGATTTACTTTGGGGTCAATACTATCTTTTAAAATAATGAATCACTAACCAGTTTTGTACTGACACCAGAATACTGAGATGAAGCAATGCAATGAAATAGCATAAACACACA